TGGGCCAAAGTAAGAGAAAGAAGATTGAAAAAATTCAGTACGATGTAATGGGTTTTCGAAAGTATCTGTTCCTTGTTGACCTGGTATGAATGTCACCAAGCCTCACCGGAGAGATATTCTGAATTCTAAATATTTTGTATCAAAACAGCAAAATGTGAAAATCTTCTTTCTTTTACCTTGAGCATTTCACTGTTAGTAATGTAAGGAGTAACATGTTCTTGTCTATTTATGTTCAATCTGTGGTTCAATATATACCTACCTATCGTACACAATTGTTCTGAATCTTTTGTAGTCTATATCTACACACAATAGGAAATTGGTCTACAACAAAAAAATTACAGCTCAAAAAACAAAATTAAGGTTTTTTGAGCCCACCCTATATATTATTAAAAAAGGTCATATGCAGTGTGTTATTTAAAAATGTGAAACGTGGCCTTCTTTTTGGATTTTTCGATCTTCTCTTCCGAGGTTTTTCGAGAAATCTCTTTTATTTTTTTTATCTGCTAAATTACGAAGGCACAGTATAATTTAGAATAATACATATAACAATATTGATTATATTTATATTTTGCACTTATATACTCATGTTTTAAAATTTCAATGCCCTAAAATAATTATTTACAAGATGGTAATAGTAAATAGGCTTATCTAATACCGAGGATAAGTAACACCCGATAAAGCGCACATCCATGCAACCACGGGTGTTACATTTTAAAAACCGAACCTTTGTCGAACGGATTGCCGAATGCTAAACAGGGTGTTACTTACCTCCATGCAGCCGGGAGGGCGTTTGGTCGGTTTGTTACAAGGCGCAACTTTTGTGTATTCCCTCCGCGTCCAGTGCGGGAAGTTTTCTGCGAAACAGTAAATGAGTGCCGCAGGATCCTCTTTACCAAGAACACCAGACAAACGGACAATCTTCCACCCACCAGGGACGCATTGGAACAGCACGTCTACCGCGCCTCGCTGCAGGCGCAAATCTGGCACCAAGCAGTGCAACCGATGCAAAACGTACCGGACCCCTCAAAGTTTGGCTGGATGAAGGACGGAAATGTGTGGAAACCGGTGGCGGTGTGGCGCACCCTACCAGTCGCATCCGACGCGTGCCAGGCACTTGTGAAATGTAACTGCAACAAGGGGTGTGTGCCGAACAGGTGCAAGTGTCGCCAGAATGGGATGCAGTTTTGCAGCGAGTTGTGTGGGTGCACATGTGCTGAAGCCCAGTCTCAGTCTCCGCAAGGTGCCTAGTTTATTTGAAATGTGACTTTTAATAAACTAAACATTTTTGCGTTTATTATTTTAAATTTTGTCACCCAAAAGAAACAGTACAATATATGTCACAACAGTAACGATCTGATGTAATACTTTGGCCACTGCCCCTGTGTGGTTAGGCAACCCGCGTTAATGGCTAGTCTGACGTCCTCCTGAGTATTTTTTTTTTAGCTTCAGCGAGGTGAAAAACCCCCGTGCAGAAGTTTTTGGAAAAAGCCCCAAATGTAGGTCATTCCGCTGCCAACTGAGTTACAGCGTTTTTACCGCCGCCATGTTAAAACCAGGTATCAAATCGGCCCCGATGGCCATGGAGTGCCTTCAGACACTAAAAAAAAATACTCGCGAATTCTTAGCTCAATAGCACAAAAATCGGGCGAGAAATAGCTTCCGAAACGCTAAAACAAACATTTTACCCCTGAAGGTAGGCAACCCGCCAAAACGGGGTCCCCACCACGACCGCTACCTTGGCAACATTTCTTAAATCGAAGAGTAAGGTCTAAAGATCATCTGTACCAAATTTCAACTCTTGAACCTAAAATGCAAGGTCGATTCTCTTACCGGCCGGACTATTTGGAGAAACTACTATTCGTCGGGTCGATTCCAGAAGAAGATTGATTTTAGGTTTATTTTCTGTTTTTTTTTTCCTAAATATTATTTATTTTGAAATCAGATAGATATTATCTAGATATATTTTGTCAATACGTCTATAACGTCTCTATATGTACCTGTATTTTATATACAACATCAACCGAAATTATTGAATTATTGCAAAAGTAATCGATACCCAAGTGTAACGATACTTTTAAGCACAATATCGAGTAGTATCGATACTATAATAAAAAAATACTCGTAAGTACATAGTATCGATACTTCCCTAGTATCGTTGCATCCCTAGATACAATACGGACTACAAACTGGTAACCAAACATGAAAAAAAGGAGTTTTGGGAAAACTATTAACCGCAGTATTCGGAATGAACGATGAGATCTAAATGTAGATTGACGAATTAGACAAAAACCAGAAGGAGCTTATCAAGGTATCCAATCACCAAACCAAATTCATGCTCTAGCCAATGTCAACGACACAGAATCCAGAATTAACAATCAACTCTAGAAATTCCGGGAAAAAGTCAATAAAGGAATTGCTTCGATAAATGGAATGAAAATATCGTATCGAACGGTGGATGCAAATAAACTAACAATTCACGTTCTCAGTACATATCAAGTGTCTACAATTACATAGATGAATTTCTAGACTATTATAGACGATTGCTAGATGTTCACTACCATTAGGACCACCCAAGATATGATCTAATATCTCCGATCCACGTTGAAGAAATAATACATCTGCATCAAAAAAGATTCCTTCCAATATCGAGATAATATTTTATCCTGTGCTCTAGACCAAAGTGGAACACATTCAAGAATTCATGCACGTCTATGGATAGTTTGTGATGATAGAACACAACAAATTTGTGCTAATCAGATCGACTCCACTTCCATTAAAAACAGAGAAAAAGTCATACTGGATCCTGGATATTCCAAACAAAGTGTTAGCACTAGATTATGATTCACAGCTATACTTCCATCTGAAGATCAGTTGAGCAACAGTGTGAACATTGCGAAAAATGTTTTCGTGTCTTCACCAACCACTACAAGAGGCATAGAAACGATAGAAACGAGTGCTAATTGCATAATAGACCAAATATATCAAAGAGAAAAAAATACTTCGTGCAAAATCCTACAGTAATCCATATATCAATAATATGGAAGCCGCTACACACTCCAAACTCATGGTTAGCAATAACGCCTGAAAAAATTAAAATTGCCATTATTTGCGATGGAACCCGGAACGATGTGGCACTAAATCAAACAGCTATTATAGGCATAGCTTATTAAAACTAAGAAGAACATCTTAGCCCCTGAAAGGTCAGATACTGTCTTAGAAGCATTCTCCAAACCCATACTACAAAATTTATCATTATTCCCAGTTATGTATGGAAGGAAATCACGCTAATTGATAAACCTGTAATTGATGCATCCAACAAGCTCAATGAATTCAGGAATGAAGAAATGAACATCAAACAACAACTTGAAACTACGCATTGGGTAACAGTAAAAAAGCACCTCCTAGTCACGAGCCTCAGTGCTACATTAGTAATCAACTATAATTGTTGTTATCACACTTATAGTGCTATTCAGGTTCTACAAAGGATGACAGAACAACGGCTCCAATACAACAAGAAACAGAGATGCGGCAGACATTGTATTAAATACAATTAGAGCTGGCCAGCCACCCACAGAAGCTGTTGTCCGCGAAACAGTATTGCCCCATGATAACACTGATGGCATGGCAATAAATGCCCAGAATGTCTAAATTTAAGATTTAGTCATAAAAAAAGCCCTAAATTATATCTATCAAAATCATAACAAAAATTAATTGATTATCAACGTCCAGAGTACTCCTAGGTCATCGACTCTAACGCACCGGCATGCCAGTGGGTCACCAGGAAACATAGGCAATACTACGATCTATGACAGACGCAGCGTCATCAAAAGTTTATAATTACCAAATCTTTTGATGTGGAGCACATAACAGATTTTCCTTAGCGGTTTATTCTGTTTAATTAATTACCATTGTTCATGACATTTGTCAAAGTTGCATTTTTTGTATATAAATAGTTGTTAATTGTTTAATAAAAATCAATATTAATCCAACAGTGGTTCTTACTCCCGAGTTACCAAACTTTCCGGGTGTACTAACCCAACCTACAAACAACAAACTACCAAGTGTAAGTTATCTGAGAATCCTCCTAAATTCCATTATCAAGAATTTGCAACGTTCGATATGAACTTCAATAATGAAACTGTGTTACTGAACCAATAGTATCATTGATAACTATTATGGCACTGACAGGATATTTCAAATTTCCTGTAAACAACCAAGCCACAATGGTGGTTATGTTTTATTGACAAGTGTCAGTTTCATAATTTTATGTAGGATGCTATTTAAACCTAACCTATCTGCTTCCAAATTTAATTTGTGATTCTTATTGCTTTCTATTGTCGTTTGTAGAAATAGTTATTATCCTAACAAGTGCGAAAAGTTATACTTTCCCGCACGCGAACTGCAGCAGTTAAGTGCGAGAAAGTTACTTTCCGAAAAAGTTAGGATCAAGATTTTTTCTACAAGCACACACTATATATTTTTTAAAATTTTATCATAAATAATAATCTCAAATTTATTTATTATTAGTATGGATGCTAAAAGTACAGTCCGTTTCATCAACTTTTGATAACACTATCAGATAAAAATAGCAGCCCTAAAACCACGCGACTTAAGCAGGTGAGTTTTTCATTGCTTTTAGTAAATTCTATACAGGTTTTCCAGGCACGTAGCGCGGCAATTTTAACCCGCACGCCGTGCGGAAAAAAAAAATCACGCACCGTGCCGAAAAGTGGACAAAAACGCACGCTTGTAGAAAAAAATATTGTATGATATTTGTGTTAAAAGTATGTTTGAGGCACTCAAACTTACACATGCGTGCCTTAAAATTGTACTTTTAACACTTATTTCATAAATAACTATTATAGTGTAGGTCGTATATAAAAACTATTTTCGTTACGAATATAGAGCTAATCTTAAACAACGTTAGTATGCTCACGATTTTCGCAAAATGGTCAGATAGTTACTAGTTTCCTATAAACATATGTACAAAAAATACTCACAGTTGTGGTTTCCCGAAAATTTAGAAGATTTCCTATTAAAGCATTTGAAGCTACTATAAATGCGATAATTTGTCGAAAAACTATTTCCCGCAACATTTTAATTAACGAAAATAACTTAACTGAAGAAACAACAGGTTTGTGGTCACAACCCCTTATATGGTTCAATGGAAGGTAATAAAAAAAAGCTTATCAATGGTGTATAACACGAATATAGTCATTTTCAAAGTTTTACAATAGTTTCGTGAAAAATATAATCTAATAAAGTACTATTTCGTGACGACTGGATTTTTGAAAAAACACATATAACATTTATGTAAAGCGTGCAATTATTAGTCCGGTCGCCGAGCCATGTGACCTTGAAGTAGGGTAAACAGTCTGTTTTTTTTTAAAGATAATTACCCAAGTCAAAAATTTAGTAACAATGTTGGCAACACAAGCCTTTTCTCCATAAAAATATGAAAGCATTGACAATTTTACATTGTATTGCCAACATAATGTCATTTTGACTTTTATCTTTGAAAAAAAAACAGACTTTAACTAAAGTTTAATGATTGATTTTAATACTATATTTGATGCACTGGATCATAATATGAGGGGTGCCAGAGTGTGGTCAAAGGTCACGAAATCAAAATAACAGAAACCACCCATTTTATCTACACCTAATGGCTACGTTCACCAGAACCAAAACGGATTGTGAACAGTTTATAAATATCAACAGAATATGTTGGGTAAACTTTTAGTTCTGCTGAACGATTCAACCTTTGAATGATAGAACGTCACCTTCTGAATGACAGGTCACCACACAAAACCAATGAACTATAACCAAAAACTGGAATACGAACACATATTGACGAACGTGAAGCCTAGTGCCGCTGCTTGTAACATTTCATTTCTGTCATTAGAAGGAATCATAACTTGCCTAGATAAAATAGGCAATTTGGTATTAAATCAGGAACTTTACTTTATGCATTCGCCATGATGTGGATATCACCAGAAATAAGTATTCATGCTTTTGCTATTCTAACTGTCATTAAATTTAAGTGAATCAAAAACAATACCTAAACCTATTGATCTTTTATTTATTTATTTTAACAAGACTTAGTTTGGTTTCTAAAGCTATTTACTTAATAACTAATGTAAGATTACTGGTCCAAAATATGTATGATGTTGTTATTATCAAATTGGTCTTCTATCATTTTATGGTAGCTTCGTTAACAGGTTTATTAATCTTTTTCGCCACTGGTATATAACTCCCCTGAAAAATAAACTTCTATCAATTATCAATTATGTAACCCTAACTTACCTTCTCTTGATGTTTCCCCTTTTTCATGTTATGTTGTTAAGCACTTCTCATGTCATTCTATAAGCCAATCTGTCGTGCAAAGCCTGTTGGAATTCCGTATAAGGCCCAAAGGTGTGAGAAAAATCAGTATCTCTTACCTAAAATTGTTTGCATCTTTTCTTCGTCTTATTTATAAAAATTACTTACCTGATTCGTTTTCCGTAATTCTATTAATTTTTCATTGCTGACTTTTCGTGTTTTCCATGAGATTTGGTCTTCTTATTGAAATTATGTCCCAAAATAGATTACCAGCTGTTTTGATTATTGTATCCACGCAAAATTTAAAAATTGCTTTGAAATGTTTTTCGGGTATAAAAAATCTAAGGTATAAATTCCGGTACTGCGATCGGTGCGACTTAGTGCTATGATGCCGGATTGCGCGTGAAATATTATCCTTCTCTATGAGTGTTTTCTAATATATTTTCTTTTCTTGTTATTAATTTCCTATTCCCTCCTTGATTATTTTAGTTATGATTTTTATGTCGTAATGTCGTTGATTAGTGTATATGTTCTAGCTTTTGTAGGTGTACGTCATTTCTTATCCTGCTGATTACCTTGGAACGAGAATTTGGTACTACATGTAAACATCCGAAATCCGCTGCAGTTTGGATTTTCTATACCTTCTTGCCAAATTGACGCTCCTAATTTTTGGTACTTTTGTTCGCCGGTACTAGGTTTTACAATAATTGTGGTTAATCTTGACCTATTTTAATACTTTTGGCAAACTGGTACTTCTCTCTCTGTTGGCGGCGTCGTACCATACATCATAGACATCGTTCCTTTGCCTATCTGATCTACTCACTGCAAAAATAAGAAAGAGCAAAAGCCTTTGCTTATCCACCTGATAAACGAAGATAGAATTTTTCCTAAAATTTGATTTTGCCTAATTTGATTGTACCATATTGGGTCTCATTTTGTGTCTTGAGGGCAATTCATGCGTTGATTTGTAAGTCATCCCTCACTTTTCGGCCATTCCTTCGATCGGTGGCATTTTCAGCAAGTATCGTGAATAATTCTTGGAATTATCAAACCCATCCTTGGCGATTTTGAATTATTTCACGCTGAATTATGTTAAGTGCTCTATTTGGATTTACCTTACGTTAGTATTTTCGTCATTTTCCTGGCACTTTCCACAAAATCTCTGCAAGAGGATTCTGTTGCCGAAAATTGCACGCCGTATCATGTGCCAACGCCCTTTCTACCAACTTTAAGGATTTGAATCAGCAAACTGCATTCTCGAGGTAACTTTTATCATTATTTTTGTCTGCTTTTAGAAGCTACATAGCTGAATTTTTACAGGATTAGTTCGAAATTGCTCCCACTACTACTTGCGTAGCAAAGTAAAGGATTTTAACCCTCCGAACACCATTTACCTTGCGTTCGGTATTTTGCTCAAAGAGCAGAGCGTGCTGAGCGGAGCCGTAATCACGTGACCAGTGAGCGAACAGAGCAGTTGAGCGCTGTATAAAAGTGCCAGAAATTTTAATAAACGAACGCGAATGAGGATGCACCGAGTACACTTTTTAAATAAACGAACGGTAAAGTAAAGCTCGGAGAACTCGGACCAAAATAACGAACGCAGGGTTAGACGAGGTAAATATTCTCCTTATTATGCTTCCTTGTGCTTGCTTCTAGCAGTGCTATTTTTATAGGGTTCCTTTCCCGGGAGTACTACCCCAAGTGCTTCCTTGTGTCTTGCGCTACCACTACGCGCTATACGTAGATCCTAAGGCTCTGTCAATCCCACCCCTAGTGTGGACGCAATCGCCAACAACAATAACGACTGTACTTGGAGCTTTTCTTAGACAAAACTGCCTCTTGGTGCTGATTTGCTGAGCAGGGTTATTAACCCTCACTGCCGACCATTGGAACTCATCCAACTCAACCCCCACCACAGCTCGTGGATTGGTATGATTGAACCAAATTTACTTAAATAATTGAATAATTTATTTTTCGTAACTTAATAATTTTCGCATATTCCTATATATAATTATATAATATACAGTATTTTATACAAAAACCTGTAACAGGCCAAAATTGCATAAATGATTCTTACCTACTTTCAATTTTATATTCAAGATTTCCTTAAATTTGTCAACATTTTCTCTATAAAATTTCATCAATAATCTCAACGGTTGTAGATCCTGTAAATTTTCTAATTTTCCATAGTCAAATTCTATTTGCTGTAATGGTTTTTTCCTCATTTTGATCCGTATTTTGATTCAATTCTAAATCAAAACAAGGCAATATTTTGATTTCGATTTTAAATTCGATCATCTGTTTCATAACAAAAATAATTCATCTGTCAAAAGTATGTCGTGTTCCGTAATCGTGATGTACCGTTTTCAGGTGGATGTACCGAGCTACTCCGTTCGTACTAACTGTTCCGGTTGTGGAGCGCTATCGATCTCGGCGCAAATTCGAGCGAACCCAGAGTTGCGCATTGGTTCGATGTTCTTTGAGACATCTGGAACGCACCCTGTGATTTCGTTTCTTTGACTTTTGATTGTCAAAAATTTCTGTCAACCAGCGGTGGAGTAGTGATGTTTTCAGTATCGTCGATTCTTCCTTGAGCTCTCTAATTTTGAAAACGGAACACTTACTATATTTTGTATTCTTCAAGTTTTGATTGTTTTATGGGATAATTATTGGTTGTTGATATCATTATTCATCAGCCGTTGTTATTTTTCTCAGTTTATATTGTTGTGTGCAATTTTTGGTAAGTGGGAATTCTGTCGATTAGTTGTTGTTGTTTGTCGTTGTTCTCGATCATCTCTAAGTCTGAATTCCTTCCTTTGGGTTAGGTTAGTTTATTAATTGAATGTGGAGCACATTTTCTTTCACATCTGGACGTTGGAGAATTAGGGTCTTTATGAAGATTGCCTTCGCCTTTTTGGGATTTCGACCCTAAATTCTCATTTGAAGTTATAATATTTTAGTTGCCTTCATGCCTTACGTTTTCGTAGTGTTATAATTTTCGCCGATTTATTCGGATTTTTACAACTCCATGTGTGGTAAGCTGCTTACACGTTTTTTTCCTATAGTAGATTCTGACTTTTTCAATTTAATTTAGTTGAAAGCTGCCCTAAGGAGTAGAGAATTCTCACTCTCTCTAGGAAATCCAATCCTCGATCCAGATTTCCGGAGATTTTCGAGGCCGACACCCTAACTCCATCAGGTAAAAAAAAAACATAACCTTATAACAATTTTTGCAAACTCAAGACACATTTTTCTCAATTGCTATCAAAGACTTATTATGATTTCATCTGATTTAATTTATTAATACCTTAATGTTAAATTTTTCTATTAAAATAATTTTCAAGAGCTATAGTCTTTTATCAAGTAAATTTGCTATTAGAAACTAATCATTATAGTTTCATTTTTTCTTATTGATTCAATTTATTCATGAAGTGCTTCGCTATTAGTTCAATTACAAATACAGTGTGTATAACAGTTTTTCTCTTAGGGTTCTTTCACGAGGGCTTATACTTTACCATCGAGTATACCCTCACGGTTATAACAATAGACGTTCAATTGTAACCGAAATTGAACCAAAAGGCTAACAGACACCAGCCTAAGTAATCGGACGGTTACTCAAGTCATCGAACAAGTTAACCACAACCAGTAGCCAGGACTAATCTGGTGAACTGAATGAACCACCATCATCTGGAAAATTTTGGTATCGTACTAGTTTTAGTTATCCTGATTGTTTTTGTTTATTTACATTCTGTCCCTATTTGTACACCCGGTGATCACCTCGGTATTTCAGGGAATAATTCATTGCTGGCCCCAGTGTGGTAAATGAATT